TTATGTACGATTTCAAGTTAGTAAGTAAGTTATTAAGTTCTACTCGAGTTAACATTGTAACAACTTGTTTTCTTGATTATAATATCAAGATTTTACTCTGGCGACTTTTGCTCCACAGTATGATGATTGTTTCTTGTCTATTGAATTTACAAACTGTCCAATGCCGAAGACATTTCTTGCAGGTGCTTCAAGAAGACAGGACCATAATAGTCGACTACTATAAGTAAAATATTAGTTAGCATACTTATGCTAATAGTAGCCGATTTAGATTAAGAAGCAAATATTTAAGAAATATTTGGTTTGCATGCATTTTTAATAGCTTATTTTCGAAATGATGAATTAATTATGGCTATTTCAGCATGGATTTTGCATTAATTATATTATACATCTCTAACTTTTTCAGTTCACTTCTTGGATAGCCCTTAATTTTATTTTTGCACTATTTTCCAGGTCTTCTAGAATACGGTGAGTTTATTTTAGCACTTAATGAAGATTCATCTTCATAATTTTGTTCGTTGTGATTAACACCTGACCTTAGAAAGTAATTCATTGGCCCTGTCTCATAATTGTTTTTAAATGCCTTCATTAGCTTTTGTAACTCACCCATGTTCCTGGTTTTCAGTGATTATCAAGAGTGCCACCTGACGCCACGCGTTGAAGGCCTTCTCTCAGAACTCTCGATTCGTCTTCAGTCTCATCAATTTACAACTTATCTCCATTTTGTTCATCAGCTACTCTCTGGTCTGGTAAATATCGTTTTCACCGAGTGTGACTCTTCACATTCAACACCCCCACTAACTCCTGGAAGTATGGATTCAATTCAAGGCGTATCATCTAGGAGCAGTCCTTTAATCGGCAGTTTGACAGAAGTGAGCTGTGCTCGGGATGTCTACGCCCGCATTTTGCCATGGCTACAGGATAGAATCAGTCGACTTACACCCCCGACACCAACAAAGTGGCCATGTGAGAGCATAGTTCATATCAGAGAGAATTCGTAGTTAAAATTAGCAAGATAACTACCTGATCACCACTTATGGCTATTTATGGGCAAGTCACTACCGATTTTTCCACATTTAGATTATATTTACAGTTGACTTGATCTCATTCTTGCAACTTAGCCACGTTACCAGGGAGACTTTAATTAAACCAAATAGCACATCATCTTTGCTTGTATTTAGTTAACGCCAAATTTTTATTTGTAATAAGAATGTTCTCCTTCACTTTTCCGTATCTATTTTATTCGAAATTTGGATGTTGATATTTAAATTTTGCTCTTAGTTTTCTTTCAGGTTTACAAATCAATTAGACTTAGATTATCCCCTGCATGCTCAGAATTTCCCCAGATAAAAAAATTGAACAAAAGCCTTAATAGTTTAACCAGCTGTTTTACTCATCATCATCAACACTGCCAGATGTATATGCTACTACACAATCATACTCCACCTACACACACTCACGCTCTTAAATACAAACTTGTAAAAAATATGCTCAAATGGTTATAGACCGGTAATAATGGCTCAGCAGAAAGTTTTCCTTTTTAAAAAGCGGCACTTTCGCTGTTTGTTTGCTCTACTCCTCCGAATTGCCTACTCTTTTGAAGTATAGCGTGTGTTTTTCAATGGGTTCGAACTAAGTCTCCACTTCAGTGATTTCTATGTACATTCCACCTTTCCTCTATCATATATCTTGGTTCTCAAAAAACGCATTC